GGGCCGGGCCGTGGGAGGAAGAGAAGGAGAATCAAATAAAATTAAGACCCCCCCACCCCCCAAAAAAATGGAGTTAGTACGCTAAGTGCCCAGTGAAGCCAAATGACACGTCATTTTACAGTATGACCTTTTTTTCCCCTTCCAGATATGCAGGCTTTTTGAAAAGCAAAGAGAATTAATTGTAGCAGCTGCTGCACCCCCCCCCCCGCAGTTACGTTCTCCCCCCATAAACCATTAACACACACACAGACACACACACACACACACACACATTTTCCTGTTAGTCGGCCACATTGAGAGTGCTTTGTGAAAAAGAAAAAAAAAGACATTCACAAATCAGAACTGGAAAATGACATTTGTCTGTAAATGGCTTCTTGGTCTGGAAATGGCGTGGGTTTTTTTTTTTTTTTTTTTTTTTTTGTCCTTTTCAAGGTGGGAGGGGGGATTGAGAGCGCGCTAAGGAAAAGACTTTTTCCAGGTGGAAGGAGATGAGAATACATTAATTAGTTGTTTGTCAAGTGACATTTGGTTGTTTGGTTTTGGGTTTTCTCTTTTGATTGCGGTTTCTCCTCTCTGGCAAAAAAAAAGGCGTGGGGGGTTGTTAACTATAAGGAGATGGCTTTTCCCCCTTTTTTCTTCAAGGTGCTGCTTTGGGGAAAATAAATAAATAAAAGAAACAAAAGAAATCGTTGAAATGACCAGAAGAATAACACAAGCACTAATTAGTATGGAAGTTTTCCACTTCCTTAGTAACTTGGCTATCTGAGTTAATTTGTCAATTTGCTAGGTTAAGACCTGGTTCATGGTCACATTTCAGCAAAACAGTGTCATTATAAGGAATAAAAGGTAAAGAGCTGATTTTTCTTTGTGGTGTCATCTGGTATGCTTTTTTTTTTTTTTTTTGGATGGGACACATCTTTGTCCAGATTTATGTAAAGCAGAAAATTAAGTGAAAATAAATCTTTGGTGTTCATGCATTTGCGATTGCAATAATTAAATGGTACATATGTTGAGGTGTCGAAAGCTTCTAAAGGTAGAATCATGCTTTGTGAATATTTATATGCATATAATTTGATTTCAAAGCATAAGCCTAGAAAAGTCTAGAATCTTTACTAGAACACAATCTTGCTAACTGAATACTAATTTAAAACATGTGATGCTACTGGTACCTTAAATTTCTAACACCTTTGCACAGTAATCACAAAGTCTCCACTTAATTTGAGACTGTTACTCTAAACTCATTTTGCATCACCAGGCTAACCCTCCCCAGGTGTCCTAGTCTATATGACTACATTTTGTCATCATTTATTGATGCTCTCTGGCACAAGGGTCTGCCACCCAAACCCAGTGCCACACAAAATTTGCATTTTTAAATTGTGGTTCTCACAAATAATGCAACCTCCCCCCAAAAAAGGAAACATAATGATGCCCAGAATCCTCTTTTTAATTCACCTTAATTTAATGACATAACAGTTCAGTGAACTGCAGTACCACAAAAGATCTTGCAGTAATTTTTCAGCTCAATTCTCTCATTTCATAAATGTGGAAACTGAGGCACAGTTACGTGTGTGCCTGCAGAAAAGCTGTCGCCCACTTTAACACTTCTGAAATAAAGATAATGGAGATTCTGATTAATACTGCATATTCTCATGGAATCTCTTAATAGTGCATTTAATATTTTAATTTATGAGTTAGGCTCATTAAGATAGAGTGTTTGCTTTGAAATCAATGTTTCTGTGGAAACTGATTTTAACTTTTTACAGATATTGATTACAGCCTTGTGAAAAGGCAAAAGGAGGAGGAATGCTTTGCTCTCTGGGCACTAAAAGTAATTAGTAAAATTAAAAGTGAAAAAGAGGACTAAAAAACCAAACAGGTTTGTGTGGGAGGAGGGCAAAAAATTATTCACTCAGGATTCTTTGTTGGAGAGAGAATCCACTTGCATAAAAAAGAAAATGAGAAACTCGCAATCCTCCTCCTAGCTTGGTAGAACTGTGTTTTTTCCATAAAATATACTTTTTTTTTTTAACACATGAAAGGTGATTTTCTTTTCGTTGGAATCTTTGAAAATTAAGTGGTTTCCAGGAATATCCTTCCTTGTGATTAAAGTCTTGTCCTTTTATTGCTTCTTACAGTTGCTGCATGTTAATGTGGTTGTTCTCAAGTACTGTATTTGACATTTAAATGTGTTTTTCAAGAAGATGACAGAAAATTGATGGTCTTCCACCCTCCACCCCGCCCCCATGGTGGTATCCAGAGTTTCTCTTTAGAAACATAAATTTTGCAGGAAAGAGGGGGAGGGTGGAGAATGGATAAAATGTAATATTGTGAGGTTTAGGGGTTGATTATTTTTAACCCCTGAAAGAAACCTGCAGAGAAAGAAGGTGCGTTGAGAAACCGCTTAGAAGGGGGTTGCTGCGTCAGTACGTGATCTGGGGGAGACTGCAGTGCCTGGACGTTGTGAATCCTGGGGTATTTTAACCATGCAACATCTGACAAACAATGAATTATGTGGCTTATATACATGAATGTGTACATTCTACCAGTGAACACATTTCAAAGATCCAGTCTCACAGTTTTAACTTCAGTGTTCTTACCCCCTCCATGGCAAAACTGCGTCATTCTTTCTTTGCCCCTTGCCCACTCCACAAAATTTAAAACAACCAAAAGGAAAAAAAAATCACCTAAAAATAGCAAAACCTTTAATTCTTGTTTGTTGTACTGATGGTGAAATACTTCAGGTAGACACACAGTTGGATGTTTATTTCATTTTCTCTGCGTCGAAACATCAAGGAAAATTGCAAATCTGTTATTTTGCTTGTTTTTTGCGTGTTGCTTCTATGGAGAAAACAGTCCTATCTCTCCCTGCCCAAAGTGTGTAAAATGCCTCCTTCTTAACCTGAGACTTACTTTCATTTTCTAGGTGCTGGAGAATCTGGTAAAAGCACCATTGTGAAGCAAATGAGGATCCTGCATGTTAATGGGTTTAATGGAGAGTAAGTGTCAAATCTGTGCCAAGGGCACAGTCAGAGTAATACATTTTATACTAACCTTTAGGAAGTTTAGGTAGGTTTTGGGGCTGGGCAGCCAATTTCCACGTAATTTTTTCAGCCTACATAATAGGAAAGCCAGGGAAGAGCTCTTCAAGGGTTTTTTCCCTCTCCCTCCCTTTACTCTTGGGTGCAGCAACAAAGATTAATAATAATAATAATAAAGCATTGGTGTTCTTGTTGGCCCTGTGACAGACAGGTCTGCGGCAGGCCTGCTGGCAGACTTGGAGCAGTGGGTCGCTGTGGCCCCCACCCTTTGCCTGGCGACCTTGACCTCTGCAGAGTCAGTCCCCCGCAGATTTCAGCGCAGTGCACCAGTGCAGGATGTTTTAAACTATTAGGGAAACACTGTTTCAATAATACTCTCACATAAAACCAAGTTGCAAGAGTCAGCCCTTGTTAATAATTCGTCATCCCCCTACCCTTTGGAATTAACATCATGGGCACATCATTGTTTCCCTTTTTAAAAATCAATCTTGCCTAAAGAAAAGGAAAAGGAGATATTTAAATGATGGAAAGGCTGGAAGTTGGGCACTTCCGGTCAGCTCCCGGGGCAGTTTTGCCTTTGAAAAGTCCTTCCAGGCATCTGGGTATAAGACAACGTAACAATACCGCAGTGGGAATAAAGAAGAAAAGAGCGCAGATGTGAGGATGTGAAAGACAGGGAGGGTCGTATGTGCCTGGAAGAACGCAAATGAGGGGGCAGACGCCGATCGCCCGAGACCCCAGGGGGGCTTTTCTGTCGCCCTATGGAAGGGTCCGGTACCGGCCTGTTTTCCCTGGTGGGAGAGCAGTTAACCTGACTAGATTACAAACACTTGAAGGCAGTAGTTTGCAGGTACTAGCTGGTCAGTCATTGTCTTTCCCTTTGTGAAACCTGGGTTCAGTTTGAAAATGTACCCCTCTGTTGAATTCCCCTCTAGTTTCAAAAGGGGAGATGGAGTCAAGGCGGCACAGTGTAATTCAGTATGCACCAAAAAAAAAAAACACCACCACCAATTAAAAACAACAAAAAACAAGCAGTTAACAGTCACCTACTATGCACTAAGCACCAGGGAAAAGAAAGGAATTTTATCACCTTTCAGAGGTAAAAGAACTGCGCAGAAGGCAGCTCTTTATGGAAAATTCTAGAATTTCTTAGATCAAATAATTGGAGGGGGCCCGGTGGAGAAAAGGATGACAGCAGCTTTTTAAGCTTTAAAATTCAGAGGGATGGCTGGTTTACTAATTTTATGAACAGCTCTCCTGATGAGTTACCAATATGCACATACGTGCCGTTAATTAAATGTCACATTCAGTTGTCACAAGCCGATTCTGACATTCTTAATTTCTGACACACCCTTCAATAAAGCCCTGCCACCAGAGTTTGCCGTCGGTCAATAAAAACTAAAAGCCTGAAATAGACGTCAAGCTATGATTTTGTGATTTAAAGAAAAATCATGCATAATGTCTCCCCCTGCAACTTGCCGGGGGCACTTCTTCACAAGGCTACTTAAGCAAAAATAATTTGACCATGTACCCTCTAGATAAATATTTTGATTAAAACTGGACGTGGCTCGCATTTTTAAAAGGATGCAGCAGTCACTGTTTACCTTAGCCGGAGTCCAACAGAAGACAGGACATCCTTGAAATAATTCACTTAAAAGTTTTATTACTCTACAGATTGCCCTAAAATTTTTTAGTTTTTTAGAGAAAGAATTCACCCCCTAAAGTGAGCCAGTTGGTAATGCAGACGAGGCATTTAAACCAGAACTTCTCTTTTCTGTTTTCTTTCAAAAAGAGGAAGTGACATTCCCAGTTTGCCTGCTTTGTAGAGGAAGCCATAGGTAATCTCCGAGGATGTTAAATTTAGCCCATGAAAGTGACATGCAGGGAAATTCTTCATGTGGGTCTAGAAACCTTATTTTTATCTTGTCCAACTGAGCCTCCTTTTTTCTTTTTCCTTGCTGCGGTATTGAACAAAAGTTCACTTCTTCACTAGGAATTCCCTGTGACAGAGGGACATCCATCCACGAAAGGGTGTTTTGTGTGGTGCAGGGTCTTTCCCTCCTTGCTCCGTAAATGTGCGCTTTGTCCGGGCTGGGCTGAGCTATTAAATCTGCCTTAACCATCCGCACTGCTGTGCCGAGTACATTTTCAGAGTAACCTGTAATATTAATCTGACCTTCAGAAACACCGAGGTCAAATGCAGGTTTTCCTAACGCAATGCTAACTCTCTTCCTTACATTTGGGGAAAAAAAAAGAGACATTAACATTGGTTGAGCTAATAAGCTAATCAGTTACAAAACCACGGAGACACATACCTTAAGCCATCCTGCCCCTCCCACATTCAAGGAGGAATTCCTACCAGTCGTGAAGATCGGGTTTTGAGTAGGGGGGTTTGCAGGAGGGGGAGTGGATTTGGTGGTGGTGGGTTTTACTTTTATTTTTTGCTGCCTCACAGTCCAGACGTGCTCTGAATTGATGACAAATTTATGGGGAACAGCTATATAAAAATAAAAACATCTTCTAGGTGGTTTCCCCAAATACAAGAAGGGAGGAGATTAATACTGCACCAGGAAATCATAGGCAAAACCCCATTATCTGTGCCTTTGTGTGTTCAGATACAACATGGTGAAGGTTGAGGTCTGGGACAATCAGGGGCCTTATGCGCTGCTATATTCTCAAAAGAACTATGATATAAATCATGACTTTAGCTCCCTAATGCATGCACATTTAGTGAAAGCACAAGAAAATAATTATCCGTCCCTTCTGTACCCGACTGGAGTCCCCAGAGGGCTCTGCTAATACTGCAGCAGAGGGGTGGAATTCTTCCCTTCACGGCCCGCAGTCTCGGGAGACATTCCAACTGAGCCAGAAAGGCGACCTAAGAATGAATGGGAGGATGGCGGTCCTTGGTTTAGGAATGTGGCGAGGCTGTGTGGGGTTTTTGTGAAATTGCGGTGCCTTGCAGATTAGGTGAGCTTTCAATCTCTCTTTAAAAGGGGCGGCGAAGAGGACCCGCAGGCTGCAAGGAGCAACAGCGATGGGTAGGCACATTCAAAAACAGAAAAACTTTTTAACATACACACAACACGAAGATCATACTGAGAAACTGAGGACACAGAGACCGGGGAAGGAAACCAAAGTCATTTCAGGGCCATCAGCCATCTTGGTATATACGTTTGCAAACAACACAGAAACAATTTCTTAATGTTTCAGAGCAAGTAAAGTGCAAAACCTTTTTTTTTTTTTTTTTTTTTTTGCCATCCTTAAAGTGTAATTAGATCCAGCTGGGGGGAAAGTTACAGATTTCAGCATTAGACGATCAGGTTAGGATTTCGAGAATTGATGTTTTTCCATATGGTTTCTGTCTTCCCCTCCACCGCCCCTCCAGCTCTCCCTTTGAATCGGCTACTTGTTTTTTAAAACTATCTACTAAATTCCATCCATCCAGTGGTTGGTCTGTTTTTAAGTATTCAGACCTCTTTGGAAAAAAAATTTTTTTTTACCTCTATTAAAATACGTGGTGCCGCACCATCCTAATTTTGGAAAGAAAAAACCCTGGCACCTTGAGGAGGGAGGTCATTGTTGAGAATGATCTCGAAAAGCCTCTGGTCTTTTAAAAACTGTCATTTATTTTAATCTAAGGCACTTTACATTAGCAAGTGGATAGGAAATTAATGATGGCGTCCATGTTTTTTTTTCCATTCACCATCATTTTTTTCCCTTCACTTCCTGCATCTGCACGCCCGTCACACACGCACACACACCTACACACACGCGTGCTAGGTAGCCCACTCGGGCGCTGCTTGCGTATTCAGCATGCGGTGCTGGAGCAGCTATTTCTCCTGAGAACTGGCAGAGCCGACTGACCTAGCCTAGGGCATCTCAAAGAAATAGCTTCTGTGGCCTGGGCTGGGAGGGGCAAAGGATATTGGGGGGTCGGGACAAAGTGACTGACACATGTTTTGTTCATCTGTTTTTTTTAGAATATATTATCCCTAGATGGTGGCTTCAGTTTCTCATCTTCCCGGCCATGTCCTATCACACTTTGCATGCTGGAATTGCCCGTCTTAGGAACTTCTAATAAGAATACTATTCTGTTGTGGGGGGGAGGGGGGATGGGGCCCCACTACCTAACCTCTAAAGTTAACTGAAAAAAACAAAAAAACAAAAAAAATAAAAACAAACCAAAAAAAAGCAAAAACAAAAAAAAAGAAATCCCTAATTGACAAAAATGTAGTGGAACAACCATCAAAGGCATCTATGTAACAGTTTACTGTACCAAAAGTTTGAGACACAAGCCCTTATTGAACAACCTACTGTGTGCTAGTGTGCTGTGCTCGACCCCCGTGCTAGACCTACTAACACCTACTAACAGCCTGCTCTTCTATCTGTGACTCTGTTTTACAATTAAACATCAGTATTAACATAAGCGATAAATAAAAATTCTCTGCATGTTTCAGCAATCCCCGTATCTTGCGTCTGTCTTCTGTCTTTCTTCTTTTGTCTGTCTTTTCCCACACAAAAAAGCACGAAGATAAAAAGGCACAGAACTTAGTACTCTGTAGTCCTCCCCTAACACTCAGCCCAATGGGGGTGGGGGACGTAGCTCTTAAAATTCAAACCCAACCCCAACATACAGAGCAGCCCTAGTCTCTATACGTGGGGGGTGGAGGGTACAATATCCTGAACACTTCCAGCCCCCATTTTTCAATCCATCAGAATTATTAAGTATTTGGAGACGTCTCAGGAATTTTCCCTGGATTTCACCATCAACGTCAAATTCATTAAGCGATAGTAAAAATTATGATAAACCTGCCAGCCCCCAGTATAATATCTCCATCTACATAGTAATTGCTTCAATGGAGGAATTTTATGTTTTAGTATTACACGCCCGAATTAGATTTTAGACTTCTATTCTAGCTGTTTTATACTTGATATACTCCTACACCTATTCACGTCCGTAGATGAATACTGAATACGTTCTCAAAATATCCGTATTGAAGACTGGAAGTTTTCCAATTATCATACTACTACTTAGACCAAAATATCAAACTGAATGAAAGAACCTGGTTTCTGGAAATAACTTCTCTTTCTGGGTGTTCATTTGGGTATTAAATACCCGGACGTATCTAATTTTAACTATTGTGGGACCTTAAAAGCAAAGGTTAATGGCGCTCGTTACCATGGAAACGGAGCCTGTTTTTAATGAATGGAGTGGATCTGTCCTATGGGGTTTTAAATTTGAATTTATGAGTGAACATAAGGGGCAAACCACGTCCTTTTAAAATTCCAGCGTCTGAATAACTTATGTAGACCTGGGCAAGGTCCAAACGTCATTCCTAACTTCAGAAACCAGCTTCGATTCTGCACGTACGAAGCAGAACAGTTGCACAGAGGGGCGGGGCTCGAGCCCTGCAGCCAGAGGGCGGTTGCATTGAGAGTCTGGGGGCGCGAGTCCCCACACTCCTGGTTTGCAGCTCACCCACGCCGGGAGCTCTCCTGACCCCCGCAGCACCTAAACGGGTGAGGGGATTCCCGGTGCCGTCTGACGTCCCCCACCCCAAAATACACGCAGCTGATGAGAATAGCACCTCCGAACGAGCTCCTGATTCCGCTAGGAAAGGATCCTGGGTCTCAGAGGTCCAGTGAACAGGAGGGTTGACCCGGGAAAAGCGATGAAATGAGACCATTCAGAAAACGAGGGCCCACCCCTCAGTAAATAACTATGCAAATACTAATTTTGAAAGGATTAGATGGAAAGACCAGGTTCTTTTAAGAGGGGGTGGAGCTGTAGCAGGCGAGCACGTGACATCCCCCCACGCTGTACCC